AAATAATTAATAGAATATAGTAAAAAAAAGAAGATCAATTCCATGTAAGAGAAATTATGAAGACGTCAATATTTTCTTGCTTAAACTAACCTGGAATATTTCCAGAGGCAGTAATAACAACTGCAGCAGTTCTTGCTAAACCTGAGGTTCCTGGTTGTGACTTATATTTCTGTCTTTGTTGCTGTTTCTTTGGTAGTTGCTTCTTGTATTCTTGCTGAAATTGATAATGTTGTTGCTGCTCTTGCTGCTGTTGCAACTGCTGTTTTGCTTGTGCCAATAACTGTAATCGTTTCCCTTCCTCTGCGATTTCACGTTGCCTTTTTTCAAACTCATCTCGAACACGCTTCTTGTACGGATAAGCCATTGAATTATTTGTGTTATTAGTAGTAGCAGAAGTACCACTATTGGTGGTGGTAATAACAGCAGTAACTGCTGGGGTGACACTGATCGATGCTTTAGCCGCTACTGATGCCGAAAGTTTCGGTTCCAACATCGGGCAAGACATTCTTATCTACTTTTTCTTTTTCAGCCACAGGACCTTCCTGAAAAGCAAGTAAAAAAAAAAACTACACATTAGGGAAAAATATGGCAGTCGAGATGTTTTACGCTGTATTTTTGAAAAATATGGCAGTCGAGATGCTTTACGCTGTATTTTTGGAAGTTGTTGACAACTTTCGAAAAAATCTGCAACAATTTCTTATGAAATTAAATGAAATACCTTTTCTCCTTTTCCCCCTTCTCCCATTTCATTCTCTTCATTCAACTCCTCATTTCCTTCTGCGTTAACTTACCATTAAGTTTTTGCAATTCAAACTCAACTTTACTTGCTATGATATATGCAAAAATTGTGCCTAGCTTGCACAACTGCAAAAAGAAACAGTGAAAAGAAGTAGCGAATTAAAACCGATGATAAAAGTAGACAATTAGAAGAGTAATCTAGCAATTTAAGAAGAGTAATCTCGCGATTTAAGTAAGTTAAGTAAGCTGGGTCTTCCAATCAATTTTGGGTTACACTGCAGGTGATTTCATTTTGTAAAATATGTTTACGTCTCATGGAATTAAATAAAAAATGGAATAAATTTCGAGATGAAAGTTTCGAAAAAAGGATTCACATCTCATTCAGCTCCTGCCATTTCTTTTTTTTTTTTTGAAAAAGTATTTGGGATTGTCCGAGCTGAGTATGCTCACTGAAAATTCAATGAACAGAACTCCTCGAAAATTTCTAGTCAAAATTTATTATTTCACTTTCCGAGACTTATATTAAAAATTTGGTAAAATTTGCACTTTATGCACGACCAAACCTTTATAAAAGAAAGTTCTGAATTTAAAACAATGAAAACTCACAAAAACCGAGTCTTTAAAATCAAAGGTCAACAACAGTGAAAGTAAAAGGAACAGAATTTCTAAAGTCAGTGCTTCATAATGAAAAAAAGGAAGATGAACCGGGCTCCGATGTTAGTGCTTTAGAACGAGAATAAAACAAATAAGAATCTACTCATCGCGTATGAAAACAATAACCAAAAACCGAATCGCTGCTATCGGTGGTTAATAACCATGAAAGCAGATTAGAACCGAGTAACAAAAGAAAGTTAGCGATCAATAATGATGAAAATGGAAAAAGAAGAAATCGGCAGAATCAGTAGTCAGTAATGACGAGAGTGAATAAAAATCGGATGATTACAGTTAGTAGTAAAAGCTAATAAGAATCGATTTATCAAAATCAATGACCAATAATAATTAGCGACAGTCAAATAGTCAAAGTTAGGGGTCAAAGGTGACAAGGCTGTTACGTTCTTAGTAGAAATCAAAACGCCCAGATAAAGTACAACTTGTATTTCTAAAACAACTCGATAAACATCAACAAACTATGACGATGGAATTGACCACACGTAGTAAGAGACGAGGATGGAATTGGATTTAACGAGTCCCGTAAAATGCGCTCACACGAAGAATGCAATTCAACGTCGCAGATTATTCATTGGCTAATCATTAGTCCATTGTTTTGATTGATTTAGTATATTTCAAGTTTAAAACATTATTGGATGGGTGTTGATACTTTACATTTTATATAAAAATTCAATGATAACTGCGTAATTGGTGACAATTGTTACATTTCCCTGCCACATTTTTTGCGTCACATTTTAACGTCGCATTTTTGTGGCACGTTTTTACGTCACATTTTTGCGGCACGTTTTTACGTCAAATTTTTATGTCATCTTTTTACGTCATCTTTTCACACCACATTTTTACATCTTATTTTTGCCCTAATTTAATGCTACCAAATACTGTAATTTTCACTGAACTTTATATTTACTATTAAATTTTTATTTTCAATCGATTGCTTTAGAATCTAAAGTTGAAATGTTTATTTGCATTTTTTTTTCTTTTGAGTTAACGTAACGTATGATTACTCTGACAGAGTGTGTTTTACATAACTTAATTATACATCGTTTGTATTTAGCACAATTCCGCTGTTAGTGATCATCATACACATCATCTTACGAAATCATACAAATGACACTTGCATTTTTTTTGTCCTTTCCACAGTGTCGCATTTTTTTTAACGCACACTAAGATGAAGTTCAATGTAAGTGTATAATAAGATCATTTGAATAAACATGGCATATGCTGAAAAGCTGAAATTGTTAGGGAACATTGACCACCTCAAAAAAAAAGTGTAATTTGAAATAGTACATGCTTTACTAGCATATCTTATTGGAATATACATGAAAAATTGATGTCAATATTTGATGTTCTAATGCTAAATTTTTTTTTTGTTTAAATAGATTATTTGCAAAATGATCGTTTTTACTCTTTCAATTAATACGGAACTTTCACGGAATGAGCATTTTGCTTTAAATATTTTTTTTTTAAAAATTGAGAATATGAAATAATTATACAGTGCTAACGGATGGATCACCTTGTACACTTGATCTGGATATTGTTATGTACTCTTCTGTCGCTGACAACAAAATGTTTTGCCGTTTCAATGACTAGTGCTACTTGCGGAGGTAATGTTTATTATATATCAGTGATTAGCTTTTGTATAATTTGCATGATTCGATATCTGTACTCTTTATAGATCAGTGGTAGCAGTATTATTGCAGTAAATACAATAATTCTTATTCGAATACTGCTGATCTCCAAATTATAAATTATAATGAGATTTAAAGCTGAACATAACACAGCTTATCACTGGGAAAATTATTATTACACTTAGATATTATGTCCGACTTGACAACTATTCAAATATTACTCGATGTAGTTCTTCACTTCAGAACAATGGTGATGTAAAGTAAGTTATATGACGCTTTGGTATCAAATTGTTAGTATTCCTTTATTCTGGTAAAATGTTGATAAGGCGTTATGGAAATAAATTGAACTACTATTGCCCATGATGATGATTGAGCACCAAAATAAGCTAATTTGTTTCATTTTTAGCTTGCACAATGGTTGTAACAGAAATGGAAATTAAGATTGCTGAGTTGGAAGAAAATATGCGAAGAAAAAGCTATTACCAACCTAGTAAAACGGAAAATCAAGGCATCATTGATAAGGTAATACAATCGAAAGTCTCAGAAAATTTATTTTCATGATGCTTGCAATTCTTCTTTTTTCTTTATCTTCTCTTTCAAAATTTCAACTCGAAAATTTATTATTACAGATTGTCATCTTTAACGCTTTTAATTTCCTGAATGTACGTTTAATTAGGGAACACAGAAGGTGATCTGATATATAACGGAATTTTTTTTTTTGTCGAATAAATTTCAAAATATTCTTTAGATATAAATAATACTACCATTGTTGTCTTTGAAGGGGCATTTGTTGAGATCCGAAATTCAATTGTCAGAACTACTGGAGGCAGTTTGTGACAAAACTTCGGAATGGACAGCTGTGGTACATCCTAGAACCGGAAAAGGTATTTACGCTCGTCGTGCAACATTGAAACTGAAACAAGTACCTGAACATCTGACCATTCATCAATTTGGAGATGCGGTATATGCCTATTTACCAATTGTGAATGGATTTAGATTTTTCATTAAATATAATTTTGAACTTCTTTTCATTTTCCCTCATTTACTGTATGCTCTTCTTTCTGTTTTCTATTTTCTTTTATTTGACAAATTATGGTCTTATAAACTCAGAAACTGAAGATTAAGAAGAGAAGTGTGTTCAACAACTAATTTCTATTACTGGATTAACTATTTTATTTATTTCAGTGCAGTGATTTTTTGGATGCATACGAAGATCGGCTAATTAAATTCGCACGCAGAAAACATGAGGAACCAGTGCATCAGTTCTGCCATGAAACAATAAGTTGGTCATGTTGAATTGTTGTTTACAGAATTTACAACACTTTTTAAATCTTTTTAAATTCTTACTTCCTTGTGCCTGAGCAGTGCATACTACTACACAATGCTAAGTGATTAAATAACATTGCAAATTTTATAGTTAGCTTACTTCTCATTCATTTGGATCTGGATTTATTTTCTTTCTAGAATTATGAAATTAAAACTGAATTATAACAAAATAAACTTCCCATCCAGAATTGACCAATATTTTCATTCAGAAGTATGTACAGCTGTAGACGTTACACCAATGACTGATGAAGAGTCAGGAAAAGCGCAAATTTTGAGTGACGAAGAGAAAGAGAAGACAGTGGAAAAAGCACTGGATAAATTAAGGAGAGATGCTGAAGAAGTGGATGATGAACTCTGAAGTGAAATTTAGTTTTCTTTTTTTTTGGTTTTGTTTGTATTATTTCTGTTTGTTCATCCGTTTATTTATTTCTCATAAACTTTATTTCTTGCTCAGATATGTATTTATATCCCATACAATAACGTATTTTTTCTTGCATTAATCCAGCTTTAGTTCAATTTAGGGATGAATTTCGTCGTATTTGTTCAACTTTCGTTCTGAAATTCTTCCTAGGCTGGATTATGATGCCATCCGAATGGTTAAGCACATAATTTTTTTTCTTAGTAAGGGAATTATCTCAGCACTTTTTTTTGAATAACATCAAGTTTAACAAGCCTTTTCTTAATGCACAGTGGCATTGTAAGCGTCACATTAAGATTGTGTGTTGTAAGATCTTACAAATTTCGTTTTCTTTTGTTGACTTATTTCAGCATTAAATACAAATCTCACACAGTTTGTACTTATTTTCTGGTTTATATAACACCAAATTTTTAAAATTTGTTAGGTCTGTCAGGAAAATTTATAAGATTTTGTCAGTAATTGCTGCTCTCCTTTTTATAAGCCAAGCAAATTTTCGATCAGATCATTTCCAAATTACTCCATGATTTTCACTTTTTTCTTTTTTTTTTTGGATGACTTATATGATGGATCATTAAATGATTTTATTGGCTATTTATCCTTCATATTATATATTTAATTTTATTTATATGATATTTCCAGTATGCAATAAGTGTGATAGTTGAGCTTTGTTTAATCAGGATGAGTCAGATGTGTCCATAGTTATGTAAGAGCTTACATATTATGCAGGATTGTTAGTTACACGTCAATAGCATTAAAATCGGCTTTCATTTCCAACTAAAATATTCTAGTTAAAAAAAAATATTCTAGTTTCAATTCTGTTGTTCGTGATTATTTGAAATATTTGGCTTTGTTATTAGGCTAACACTGTTCATTTTTGTGTTTACTTGTAATATCCGCGAATATATCTTGCTATGGTGTAGTACTTTTATCTTTTACCGGTATTATGAGATCCAACTTGAACAATGCTGGAATTTAGTGACATTACTAATAGTTTACCAAGGTTTTTTGAATGGATAGAAGTTCGGACTTTTTTTTTTTTTTTGTCAGGACATCGTTACTTCTTTACAGAAAGGTCCATCAGACGAGTGATAAATATTTTTCGTCGCCAATGTTGATGACATCTCCCATAACGGATCTTAATCAGTTATGGAATTGGGATGGAAATACTGTACCACATTGTCTGGTTGGTAATTCACTAGAAAATTATACAAGAAACGGCGATTATCCGGAAACATTACTTTGCCATGATATGAAAGGTGGATATCTCGATGAAGAAAGGTAATTTCAAATTTTGTTACGAAATGGTCATATTCACGACGCGACGTATTTATATAATTTTCTTTAGATTAGACGGTTATGAAATAACAGATTCAACAGCTCCATTTATATTTTTTCATTGGTGGTACATCGATGTTTTCGTATATTTCTCACATAATTTCATTACTATTCCGCCCGTAGGCTGGATTAACCAAGCCCATATGCACGGTGTTATAGTACTTGGTAAGTGATTTTCAATCTTTTTTTTAGTCATTTTTTGCTGTTATAGTGCATTATAATTGCATATGTCGTAAATATTCCATGGAAGATTATATTGATTATCCAAGTGATATTAGTAGCTGAATAATTTTTTTTCAAAATTGTCAACAAGTTGAACTTACTACCAGGAACTGTATTGTTAGGTGGGTTAAAATTGTTAATTAAATAGATAACATCGTAAGCCTCCTTTGAGAATGATGATTCCATTGTTTTCGTGCAAATTTTTGAAAGAAAAAAAAAAAAGAATATGATTGGTGAAACTATAATAAAGGATTTGAAAACGGATCGCAAAGCGAGAATTTTCCTAATATTATATCGGACAGATTGAAGCAAATGAAGTAGTCTTTATTTTAATCGAGATTCTCTTTAAAAAAAATCATTTTAATAAATTGCTGGGTTTGATTTTATACTGGATTTAACAATACGGAATTCAATAATAAGATGAAAGTTTCTTGGATACCCGAAATTTAGTGGTAATTTATATTTTTATATTGAAGTAACTTTCTTCTATTTCAATTAAAATATGTAAAGCTTATTCGAATCTTTGCATATTCATGATTTGAAGTATAATAAGTTTGCCGGAAGTAACAGATTACTCTTTAATAAATAGTCAGACTGCAAATGTGTAAGGGCAAAAAAAGAGAAAAAAAACATTAGACGAATTATCAATAAAAATAAGTGAAAATTTGTCCAGTAACAGTAATGCGGAAAATTGATAACCTGTCCAGCAGCAGAATTACCAGGAGCAGTTCAATTGTTTGAATCATGAATATTTGTTGAATTTGGCGGACGACGTATGACGATATCGAGAAACAAACAGTTTTAGTAATTGCATTTAGAGTATTTACTCTTTTCTGTATAGTTTTTTGCTTTCGGAATATTCAGGGACTGTGATCACCGAATGGCATGGAGGAGCTGATCTTTGTAAGGATTTTCTCAAAAATGAAGATAATGTGACAAAAACGGTGCAGAAATTGGTGAATATTGCTGTGAAATATAATTTTGAAGGCTGGTTAATTAATATCGAGAATAAAATAGAAGTTCGGTTTTTTATATGATTTTAATGAATTATAATGTCTTATTCTAAAGGGAAGAATAATGAATGTAAGGCATTCATATGGATATATGGGTAATAAAAAAATGAATTGTAGTTTTGAAAATTTGAATTAAGCTTACCATCGTCAATTTATCTTCAATTTGGATCATAAATATAGGTATTATGTTACCGAGCTATGTAAATCACTAGTAGATTTCCTCATATTTTAATCAGTTAAGGTACTTGTTCTGTTCTCTTTTTCAATTTGTCATTAAATTTAATGTTATTACATGCTAAAATATGACGAGATTTTAGTATAATATGCTTGTAGGGAACACTGCTCTTTTCATAATCATAATTTCACTTTGGTTCTTTTATTGCTCAGCAGTAATTAATTAATTGCTTATTCTTGTATTTCTTATTTAATTTCACAATTGACCTTTTATTTTTACTTTTTTTTGCTAATTATTCGTTTTACTTCGAAAATATCATTTGTTTTTAAGGTTGGAACTAACTTCTTTTTTTTTCCTGGTACTAATTTCATCTTTCCAAATATATGATTTGTCATAGCGAGTAGTGATTTACAACTGTGAAGCGTAAGGAATTGATCTGATTATTAGAATTTGTAGTAGTTTCAGAGGGAATCCATCATGTATCTTGATCTTTTCCTGAGAATGCTTACAAATGAAATGAGACAAGCAGTTGGTGAACGAAGTCGTGTGATATGGTATGATTCGGTTACGGTAGATGGCGAACTAAAATGGCAAAATGAGTTAAACGACAAAAACCAGTAAGCCATTAGCATATGTCATCTGTTGCTTGTCGCGCTATGCTATATGTTTTGTCGATCGACTCATGTTACATTATTCTAACATATCTTTTTTTTGCAATATTATAAGAGAAACAGAACGAGAAAACAGTATAAATTTTATTACAAAAAAAAAAGGCGATGGTTCGATATTACGGATGGTATTTTCTTGAATTATATATGGGAAGTGAAACAACTGTCGGCAAGTGCTGTACGCGCCAAGCATCGTCATCGGAATATTTTTGTTGGAATTGATTGTTATGGCCGAGGATGTCATGGTAATTTTCTTACTCTTTATGGCAATTACACAGTTCTATCATCATATGCGAAACTATTTGAACCAACGCAATATCATATGAAAATGCTGAACTTATTTAGTAAGCTTATTTAATATTTAGTGAATTTAAAATTGAGCATCTATTAATTGCGGATACGCATTTTAAATTGGTGTGCATTCTTCTCTCACCTTCTTCGTTATGCTAGGAAAACCGCTATTCAGCAAACAACACTAGCAAGTAATGGGTATTATTTAAAGTTCAGCCTATTAAATTTCTATTTTAGCGTAATTTGAAGGTGTGAATCCGTTCTAATTTCTTGAAATATTCCAGGTGGTGGTGGTTGGAATTGTCATGAAGCGTTCAAGTATCCCCGCCAAAATAATCTTTCAGTCGCTTTGTTTGCTCCTGGTTGGATTGCTGAAACAATCCCTTGTCAAGAAATCATCGTTAATTCTTTGCGGTATTTCTTTTTTCTGATCACTTCTTACGAACTAACATTATATGCTGTGTGTCGGTTGCCCTTTCATCGGTCGTTTATTTGTTTATCATTTTCTCTTTTGTCTTTTGAAAGAATAGTTACAATTATAACTTTACTAGAAATATCCAACTAATGAGATTCCAAGAGATTTCTAAGGTTTTTTTTGAATTGATTGACTAATTTCAAATATCTTCCCAAATATTTTTGCAGGTTCTGGGATCGTTTGATTACATTTGTTCGACCACATCCGTTAATAAAATTGCCAATTGATACTGATTTTAGTTTCGGTTACAAATACAAAGATGCTTGCAAGGTATCCTTTAAAATTACTTGCATTAAACTATCATGAATATGTCTCATGCAGTCGTAGACATGGGTAATATCAAAACCAGTTCCGAATCGAAATAAATGGTTTGGTTCTGATTTGAGATTTGATATAATTAATTACGAAGGATAGGTATTTTGGTGAATAAAAGTTTGTCTCTTAATTTTAGTGTTATTTTACCTCATTTCAGGAAATTCTTTTCTTGCGCGTGCGTTTTCTTATGCTGACATGTGTTTCTCTAGTTTCAAACTGACATGTACTTTTACTTCTCTAGTTTCAAATTGAATTCAATTCGATTATTACGTCATTATTGATATGCAAATAAAATTTGTATAATTTCTACAGTTGGAAATAAGTAAGAGGTTAACAAATTTTGTTCATTAGTACTTTGTAATTAGTATCTCTTCCAATGTTCTTTTTTTTTTAGAGAGATGTTATTTTGGTGTTAAGTTTGCATTTTACTTTTTATATTTTAGAAATGTTTTTTTTCCAAATATTAGATTTATTGAAAGAGTTGATGGAAGGTAAAAGTTAAAACTTTCTAGTATCAATAAATGAATCATATATATGTTGTTAAGTGAATAATTAAATAAATAAATGCTAGAAGAAAACCCCTCATAGAATAACTTATAGAATCACATGTTATTTGTTCGTATCCTTTTAATATAACAAAAGTATGCTTACAACAATTCAAGAGGTTAAGAATTGATTGATCCCGAAAATTGCTTAAAGCTCTCTACAGTATGCCAAAATTATCAGAAAACCCGAAACAAAACAGTTCCCCATATAATTTACTTATAACTCATATTGAATTATAATATTTAAAATTTAAAATTCTGCTATCTTACTCTTCTATATTAGCTATCA